TCTGTGGCAGGTGTTTTTCAGGTTGCTTTGTGTGGTCTGGCAGCTCTGCAGGCAGGGGCTTTGAGAGGGGCTGGGGCAGGGTGGCTGTGGGCAGGACCTCCCCGAGGTGCAAGAATTGCTTATAAATAGGGGGGACACGTTGAAATGTTGCCTTTTTTTTGTTTTCCCACCTCCCACAGTTCTTGGGAATGAGGAAGGAGGCCACTAAGAAATGTTGGCATTTCAGTCGAAAGCAAAGGCAGCTGAAGTGGAATGCTTGCTTTCTTTTATTTTTTTGGGGGTGGTGGGGAGAGAAATGCTGCTGCAGAGATACTGCAAAGCTGCTGTGCAGAGAATCCTGCCTGGATTTGTTCAGTTTTCAAACTGAGGGGTAAAGCAGTTGACAGTTCCTGTGCCTGAGATTGCCTGAAGTGACTGAGCCAGCAAAGGAGACCCAGCAGGGGCTCAAGTGAAATTCTTCCAAAATGCTCTCCTTTACACTCACTGCATCCTTTTCCAGTAAAACCCTTCAAATGCTGCTTCAAAAATTCATGAGTTTGAGTGCTTTAATGGAAGCAAAGGAGAGACTTTTCTGTCTCATCCTTAAAAAGCCTGTGGAAAGTTCAAAGGGAACTTTTAGTGTTTAGTTTTGCTGCACTCACCCATCCAAGAACTCTTCTCCCTGAGTTAACCTGAAGCTTTAATGTTGTGTTGAAACCACTGTGGGATGTTGACTTTCATGTGAGCCCTGTAAATGGGCAGCCTGTTAAACAGGGCACCAGTGTGAACTTGGTTTAAAATGATACATGCTATAAGATTTTCTAGTCTTTTTCCTGCTGAAATTGTTGAATATTTTACTGTGATTTTCATTAAGGCAGAGCCATCCCTGGAATTGTTCAAGAGAGACTGGCTTTACATTTTCATTTTTGTTTTTGGTATGTTCTGTTTTTTTCTTTGTCACCACAGAGTTAAAGTCAACACTTTTTAATGCAGAGCTTTCTGCAACTTTTTCATCTGACTTCTTTCAAGAGTAACACCAAGGGTTTTCAGGAGAAATTGTTGCCTTTAGGTTTTGATCTTCATTAGTTTATGTCCTCGGAGATATAAAAGCAGATTAAGTGCCACTATAGCAGCGGAAAAGAAACTCAGCAATACATGCAGCAGAAATGGGCTGTCAGCAAAAAAAAAAAAAAAAAAATCAGCAATGAGAAGTCAGCCTTAAAAACAATCTAATTATTTGTCTGAGGTACAATGTTGCCCCAGGGAAAGTCAACAGGAGCTTTTCTGTGGCCAGAACTCGTCAGAATCCATCCTTTAGTTATAATTTGAAACTATAGTGTGAGCTTTAATTCCATTAGAGGAAATTTTTTTTTTTAAAGGAGAAAGATCAAGGAAGGAAAGTCCAGAAGACATAGTGCCATCTTTTTATATCTGGCAAAAAAAAAAAGGAAGAAAAAGTCCTTCAGAGGTTGAAAGATTTTGGGAAGCCAGGGATAGCACAGGCTGAACCCTGTGGTTCTGCTTGTTGGGACCAGTTGTAGGCTGACCAGTTAAATGGCTGGGGAGGGGATGGCCAAGAGCACAAAAGGCCTCTTGCTTCATAGTCTGAAATAAAGCTCAGCAAGCCCAGAGGAAAATCTGCACGTATGTAAGTGGAGGAATGAAGCCAAGAGCACAGATGGTACGTTTTACATTCATGTCTTTGCACTTCATTCTTCACGGGCACTTTTTTTCCCCACACTTCTGGCTGATTGAGCTGAGCTGGTAAAATCCTGAAAGAGGTGAGCCAGCCTTTGCAATTCCCAGCCATGGCCGTGCTGCCCTGTCACTGCAGCCCCAGAGTAAAATCTTCCAGGAGGAAAAGGTCCTTGATGGTGCTGCCGTGGGTTTGAACAGCCAGCCCTGGATCACGTCAGCCCGCCGGGCTGATTGTGGTTTAATTGCAGTCACCAGTGCTTTGATTCTTGGCTTGGACCTTTGTAGGCTGCAGTCACTGAAATTATAGAGCTTATTTGCTGGCCACTCAGGGCTGGATTGAAAGACATGCACAGTAATACCCGAAATTAGAGTCCGTGTGACCGATTTCTCGGGCTGGAGCTGCCTGAGCAGTAGGTGATAAGTGGGGCAACTCTGTCAGCTCCACTGAAATCCTGATTTACAGCAGCTCTCGTTGTCAGTCCTGAGGAGGAGCTGGCATTCCCTTCACTGAGCAAGCTCACGCTGTGTGAGAAATCAAATTTCACCCACAGTCACAAATAAATTAATTTTAAAATGCAGTCACAGAAAGGGAGGGCAGTTGTATTATCTGTAATGCACTTGTGAGGAATGGTCCTGCGTTTTACCCTTGATTTTTGAATACTCTCTAACATTTGGACAACTCTCTACAAGGAGTAGCATTCTGGTTTTGAACAAATTCCCAAACAGCTGGGGTTTTTTTCAAGTGGCATCAGCAGCCAAGAATCATCTGCTGCATCTTTTCCTCCTCTGCCTCCCTGGAAATGGCACTGCCCTGTGGCTCAGAGCAGCTTGAGATGAATCTGGATTTTGTGGCAGCTTTAGGGTCCAAAACCCTCTGGAGTCAGGTTTTTTTCCATGCTGGACAGGAGGTCTCTAAAGCTACAAACTGATGCTTTTGCCTGCAAAAGTATTTTGGGTCCTTCACAGTGGTTCTCCTCGGAGACTCGTGTTGCTGCTTTCCCTGTGCTCAGAGTGGGTAAGCAGTGTGTGCCTGAGGAAACTGGAAAGCAGTTCTGGAATTCTGCCTCTGGGAGATGCCTGGTTTAAGGCATGGTATCAGTACTTGATAACAAATGAATTCTTCATTTGCTTTATCTGCCAAAATAACGCACTGATTGCTCAGCAGGAGTGAGGAATATGCTTAATTACAGTGTACAGCAGCATCATGGGTTGGTTTTTTCAGGCATTTTCTTCCCCCCCCCCCCAACCTATAAATAGTTTAAGATATACAGGATATTAGATGAAAGCAAGATAAATGTAATTCACAAGTTTTTAAAAAATTATAATTTATCCTCCATACTTGCATTGGTGGAATAGCCGAGCTTTGATCATCAAAGTTAGGTTGGTTTAAGTTAAAAAGGCAGTGGAATTTCATTCTGAAATGACCCCTTTAAATCCTGAAGAATAGCTCTGTGATGTAGTTTTATTATCCTGACTAATCAAATTATCACAAGTTATAGGCAAAATGGAGGATATTTTTTTTTTGTCTGCTGGCATAGAAATGTCAAAGCACGATCTCCAAGCAAAACAGTACTTCCATATCCATAGGTATCCAATCTTCTGGGAACTGATTAACTATTATTGCACTTTCTGTCCATAATCTGTCTAAAATCAGTGGGATTTCTCATATACTTTCGAGCAGAAAATGATGAATCTTGTTCAGTTTGCCTTTTAAGCAGGGAGGGGAAAAAAAAGCCAAAACTGATTATAAGACTCACAGAATTATTGGGGTTGGAAGGGACCTCTGTATATCATTCAGTGACACAGGAGCTCGTCCAGGTGGGTTTGGAAAACCTCCAGAGAGGGAAACCTGTTATTTTAGGTGTGTGCTTTGATAGGATCCACTTCCAGCTGAGATCAGTCGATCTTTTGGAAGCCCTCAGTGTCCTGACCACTCTGGGAGTTGCCAGGCACTGCCAGTATAAACCCAACTCTATCAAGAAAGCTCTACCGTGATAGAGCTTGTTTGCTTAAGGCAGTTTTCCATGTACTGGTGCCACATCCAGCTGTGTCCACAGGAGTTTTTGTTGGTCTGGTGTGTCCACACCCAGCGTTACCACGCTCACATCTTGTGCTTTCGTTTACATCCCTCACTTCTGATCCGTTCATGTGTCACCTCCCAGGTGCCACTGAGAGGTTGCTTTCCCTGCCTTGCCCCCAGGTGCCCAGAGCAGCAGTTTGTGACTCTGCATCCTGCAGGCTGGGGGTGATTTCCCCATTTCTGCTCACGTCTGAGCTCCTGAACACGCTGCAGGCAAAAAAACCAGCTCCACACAGCTCTGCCTCAAACCAACACCCTAAAATGAGTGGTAACAGAGTGAAGCTCAGACAAAAGGTGGGAGTATAAGGGGATTATACAGTTCTCTCAAGCACAGCAAAGATTAACCTTAAAATACATATTTTTGCACTCAAGCAGTGACATCCTTGGGAAGTGGGTCTGAAACGCCACGAGACAAAAGCAAGAGTGGTTTGTGCCCAGGGTGAACTGAGCCAAGCAGGACAGCTCTACATTTCTAGTTAAATTTAGTAGTGTGTTACTAATGACTGTGCAGAGTGCAAGGCGTGAAGAGCTGTACTCAGAATGTGGATGCATGTGAATACCACTGTATGTATGTACGTGTGTGTATATATATATATATGAGGTTTTTTCCTGATAGCGTTTGATACTTATTGATTTAAAAAAAAATATTTAAATTATGAGGATGTTTGTATTCAAGTCACATAATTCTAAATTCTTTGCTGTACCAAGTTACCCACTCTGGTGTTTTTGTTGTGTTAATAGTCATCTTAGAGAAGCACTTCAAGACCAGAGCAGGGCAGGCAGTGACATTGCAGCCATAATTTGAAGCCCTAAAGAAAGAATTTCCAGGATTTCCAGATGATGCATTTAAGACTTTTGTGGGCCTTCCAGGACAGCTGCTCTCCAAAGCTGATCACAGCAGATCATGCAGCATATTTCCAACCCCTTCATGTCACCTCCTTAGTGCTGGAACACAGAACCACTTGCACTGTGTGTGCTCTTGGAAACTCTTTTACCCTCTTTAGTGATAAGTGTAGCTCTCAGCGTTGGTGCCAGTTAATTGCTCCCCCCCCCCGAAGAAAATAAAACAAAGGGGAAAAGTGCAAGAAGAAATATTTGTGTCAGTGATGAGGTGGAACAGCACTGGTTATCGTGCTTATTTTACTTCTTTGTGTGCCATTAGGGGGTTATTAGTGCACTCTTGAACCACATTCTAGAATAGCAATATTTGCAATGCTGCTTTTCTGTTCATCTCTTGTTGCAGAGCTGCCTTTTTTGCAAGGGGCTGAATTTTTTTCAACCAGTTTGTGTCGCCTGTCAAGAATTTTCATGTGACTCTCGGAAACCTGCTGCAAAGTCGTCCCTTTTTGCTATTCAACCCCGTTTTCTTCTCCCTTTAGCAGGTAAGCTCGTGTTTCTGCAACATTATTTGCAACTGGAAAACGTTTCCGATGTCAGGCACCTGCAGAGTTTTGTTGGACTCAGTAGGGTTAATGCCTCTCCTCCAGAATTTCCCCCAAAGCCACTGCGTTTTCTGCCATAGGGAAATATGTGAATCACAATGCAGCACTCTGGGGTTTTTAGCATCAGTGCATGTCAGCCTGCATCCCTCTACCTCTGATACAGCTTAAAAACATGGTGTGCATGGACTTTCAGCTGGGAGTCTATTTACAGCTGAATCAGGATTGTGAGCAAGCCATACAGAAAATTGCTCGAATTTCTGCTGAGAGGAGCCTCTAAATAACTTTAATGTCCTTGGGGGGAAAAAAGCCCTGAAGGGGAGGGCCAGGATGGGTGATGGGAGAGCTCGGGTGTCACCCAGCACGGCGACCTCGAGCTGCAGAGAGGGTTCAGATGCTGTTCATCGAGATCCCAGTCAGTGCTGCAGGAACAGATTAAGGCTGACTGTGCACTGGAGCATGGGAGGGATTCTCCAGTGACCTGGGGATGATTGATGGGTACGTGGGTGTGGCAAGAAGGGACACTGAACGGCAGAGCAGGAGAAATGTCTTCGCCAGCTGCAGCTGTTTCTACAGAGGGGCTTGCAAGGGCCCTCCAGAGTTCCTTTAATATTCCTCGCTGGAACTGGAGCCGCGTTTGAGATGGAAGGTTTTTGGGAAGGAGGAACTTTTTAAAGATTTCTTGGAATGGCTTTCAGTAAATGCTGGTAGTCATCAAAGGAGAGTGTGCATGGGGGTGTGCGAGTGCACTTATGTGAAAGGAAAGTAAATGTGCCTAATCTGTCTTTGATGTTGTTCTGTTTTGTTTTTAACATCATCGTTGCATGTAGTTATTTTTTTTTAAAGCGACTTAGAAATCTCAGAAAACAGTTGCCAGTTTCCTCCTCCAAAAGAATTTTCTTTCTGAACGTATTGAGTGGTTTATTCCCTGTTAAACATTTACTTTATTACTAAGATGCAGGATATAATCTGTGCCACAGCTTTTTTCCTGTGTTTTTTAAGGGAAGAGGTCTTTTCCAAAAAGTTGGCTCTTGCAGACTTCTGGTTTGATTTACTTGGTGGTAATGGATGCTTTCTGCCCAATCTGTATCCAGTGGTAAATGATGGGAATTCCTGTTCTGTGCTACTTTATTGCAGTGGTAGTTGGATTTTCCTACAGCATTACTTGGCCTCATCCCAGCCTTCAAGAGTGAATAGTCCCCTATAACCTGCAGTTTGTCAGGGCCTTGCATGGCATTCACAGAGTCACAGTTTGGGGGTGGAAGGGACCTTAAAGCTCATCTTGTTCCAACCCCCTGCCATGGGCAGGGACACTTTCCACTAGCCCAGATTTCTCAGAGCCTCATCCAACCTGGCCTTGAACATTTCCAGGGATGTGAGCAAGGCTGGGACCTGCAGCAGAATTGAGCTTGTTCTGTGACCTGGGCACAGATGTTTCAAAGTGAGAGAAAAACGAGAGAACTCATTTTGACTTGAGCTGCACTTTTTTTCCCCTGAGGATTTCCAGGGTGTTGTTCAGCTGCTGCTGCTCTGTGTTCCCTGGGAGGTGAGTTAAGGGTATCATCAGTAGCAGAGAGGGGGCATTGCACAGGGGGAACTTGATAGTCCCAGGTCATCAAGAATAAGAGTATGGGCATTGCTTTTCTCCTTATTCCTCTGGAAGAGGTGAGGGAAGAATAACCCAGGCAGGAAATCCCTGCTCTCCCGACCCACATTATTTCAAGCATACCCCAAAAATTTCTGCTCCTGAACTTAACAGCCCTCTCTAAGACAAACACCCGCATCTGCTGTTAACTAAGTTACCAGTCTACCAACTAATCTGTTCCCAAACATGAGTTCTGTCAGCAGCAACTCCAAATACAGCTCCTGGGAGGGTTCAGCCCCTGCCAGCAGAGCTAAAAGCTGCTTTAATGCTTCACTGAAGTATTTCGGAGAGCTCACTGTGAACAATCCATCTTTGTTTTGTTCGTTGTTAAACTTTTCATTCTTGGTTTTCCAAATAACTGCCTCGCAGAGTAAACAGAGAACACACATGTAAACCTTCTGTTTTTAGCAGAGCGTTTGCAAACCATCCCACTGTAAACTGTTTATAGATTATTGTGTAATCTGTAACTGTACCGTGATGGACAGTCAGACTTCCCACCATGCAAGGAGTCATAATCAAATATCATCCCTTGAGCAGCTTACCACCACCCTGACAGAGTGTTTGCTGCCTGGAAATACCAATTCCTCCTGAAAAAACCCCTGCCTGCCTGCCTGCTGCAAACCCAGCATTTTATAATCGCTTGGGGTTTTTTCATTGCTAAAGCCATAGCTTGCTGGCAATATAGTAAACTTTAAGTGATGCTTACAGCTTGATTGTATTAAAATTTTATATTCCAACAGTGTGCATAAACCCACAAGTACTATTTGCTCTTTATTGTGGTGTGGTATAATTTAAAGGTCTTAGGAGTCTGGCCCTACCGTAACAGAGACCATAGAAAACAGGTATTGAAGGTGTCAGGCCCCCATTAATTTACATCTGCAGGCCATGGACTCTGTAAACAGATGTACAGAGGTTTTTGTATTGTTCCATGGAAATGTCACAGGTTTCAAATGAAGCACATACAGAATCCTTGGAGTGGCAGGAGCCTAATCAGAAGCAGCAAAGTAATAGGTTTCTGTCCTCACAAGGGGACAGAAGTCAGTAGGAGAGTGTTGAGATAATAAAAGAGGTTAGCAATGTTTGCTGGGTCACAGGGGATAAGCACTCATGCTTTTCATAATTAGTGTTTTGAGAAGTTCCTGGCAAAAGTAACCCTTTGTTTGCTCCCTTTTTTTCTTCTCCTCCAAATACAAAGAGGCAGTATTTTTATTTATTGTTTAATTCTTCTTGTTCACTGCTGGGGGGTGTTAACTGTCAGCTCACCTCTCCCCTAACATTTCAGCTGACTCCCTGGCCAGGCTGTCCCACGCAGGCTGCAAAAACTTTGTCCTTTTCTCTCAATCCCTCAATGCCTTTGGTCAGCAGCAGATTCTTCTAGAAATACTGATTTAATACTTCCCAACTTGAAATACCAGCTCAGCTTGTAAACCAAAGATAGCTCTCAAAGATTTCTTCATTGAGGGTCAGGGCATGTGCTCGAGGAAATGAAACATTCATTAGTTGGACGCCAGATTATTTACACTTGTGTAATGATCAATCAGGCAATAAGAGGCTGGGCATGACATTCTTCTTAGCTAATTTTAGATATTTACAGCTTGGGATGCCATATCCATATCTGAGCTGCTCACATTATGTTCTCTTTATAGTCAGTGGAGAGAACAGGCACATCCCCAGTGTGACTTTCCTCCACCAGGTTGAAATATCCTTCCTGGGATGTGCTGAAGTGCACCCTGGACGTGCTCGGTTTTTTCCAGCAGTGAGAAATGGTTTTTTTCTGCACACCTCTGCTTTTGAGACCCACTTCTGATGTCCATCATCTCATTTCCCAGTAGTTAGTGCTAAATGAGCTTAAAAAAATAGAAGAACAAACTGGAGTGGCCGAACTTTATCACAGGAGTGTCTTAATTGCACCTTTGAGTTCTGACCTCCCAGGTCACTGCACTGGTGTCACTGCAGGGATTGACTCTCTTCACAGCTCTTGCAGAGAATTTAATCAAAAGGAAGGAATTATTTCAAATATTATTTCCACTTTTATTCCAGTTACTTACTTGCCATCTCACTAAAACACAGGCAGTAGTGAAGTGTAGATAAAAGCGTAAATATTTTATCTGTACATCTACTTATCTAACATTATATAAAATAACTCAGTATAACAGCTGAAGACTTACATTTATTTCATTTAACTTTGCTAAGTGAGGGTGAAAACAGGAGCTTTCATTCCTCTTTCTTCCCCAACTCCACACAAATGCAACCCAAATAGCTGTCACAGAGCTGAGCAGAGGAGAACAGGTCACCTCAGTGAGGCCAGAATAATCTCCCAAAAGTTAAATAATGAGGATTACCAGAATAAGGCCTTAAAAGGTCATGTGCCTGGCATTAAAAAAAAAAAAAAATCATAATGTGAACTTGAAAATTGGTTGTTTGGTTTTTTTTTTAGTGCCTTTGGAACTTGTTCTGCATTTGAACTGAAATGGGAAATTCAGTTTATGCACTGATTGACCTTATTTTAAAATAAGCAACTTGTAGTCTCAAAGTTCTGTCTACAAACATGCCAAGAATCTGATATTTTTACAGTGTCTTTTTCTTGCTAAAATATACAAAAATCCATGTTTCAACACCTAGCATTGATAACCAGGTAGCGTTTTTTAATAAAGGTCTAAGAAAAGTGTGACATGCAAGTGGGTCCTGATCATATTTTCATTAAACCTCTTAACTAGGACTTAACAAAGTAATAATGTTGGATGCCTTTGGTTTTGACTACAAAGGCTTAGTCTCTCATAGGGAGGGACAGTTTTACACTATTAAGGATTCAGCCTTTAAAAATTAAGGCTCCTATACTTTGTTAGTTTGTTGTTTTGGTTTGTTGGGTTTTTTTTAACACTACTGGGTACCAGCAGTAGAGTTGGGAAGCCTTTAAAAAGAATGCTTCAAAACACATGAACCAAGAAGATTTTTTTTTTTGTTGAAAGCATCAGATTGAAAACAATGCACTACAAACCAACACTGAAACTTTTCATTCTGTTCCAGCAGAATAAGTTTAGATGCATTTATGTTTCTTCTGACACGCTGAAATTCTTGCACTAAACAAACCAAGGAAACTCAAACAGAGTCAATGAACCAAAAACCTGGATTCAAAAGCCATTTATATTTATCTTTATCCCAGTCTGAGTCAAAAGTTCAGTTCTGGATACTGTCCTTCCTCAGAGAGTTCAGCTCTGGAGCCCAAACTTTCTGTTGGAACCAATCTCCATAACAGATGACTCATAAAAACAACATAATGACTTGCACATATGTGCAC